CTAAAACTGAACTCAAGCTCTGCACAGAAACTTCACAAAATAACACTGACACGTGGCCAAAGAGTATGTAAAATATTCGTTCTCAATAATCAGGGAACTGCAACCCAAATTACAAAAGGATATCATCATACCAAAGTTAAAATGGCTATCATAAAAAATACAAAAAATAGAAATGCTAGTAAAGATGCAGAAAATGGAAACTCATATATTGTAGTGGTTATGTAAAACAGTAGAGCCATATGAAAAATAGTATAGAAATTCCTTAAAGCTAAAAGCAGAACCACCATATAATCCAGTAATTTTGCTACTTGATATACATCCAAGAGAGAAATTCATTACACTGAAGAGATATTTATACTTCCTGTGGATATCAGCACTATTCACAATAGTTAAAATATGGAATCAACCTGATCATGCATCAATAGGAGGAATAAATGTATGCCATATACAGGAGCCTAATAACCCTAATCCATGTAAATATTATGGGCCATAACATGTGATAAGGCAAATAGTATCAGCAGGTACAAAAAAGGAGATTGGGGAACTGTGGGGGGGGGAAGGAAAGGGAAAGGGAATAAAAAAAAAAAGCTGTAATATGTACATGTAACCACTCCCCAAGATGATTGTAAACTGCAGGAATTATAAATATGTACTAATAAAATGAGAAAAAATATATATCATATATATATAGTGTATGCATGATTGTGTGTATATAAGGGAATATTTTTCAGTCCTAAAAAATGAGATCCTATCTTTTGAAGCAAAATGGATGGAACTGGAGGTCAATATACTGAATGAAATAAGCCAGGCAGAGAAAAACTACTTGCATAAACTACAAAATGTATCTCATAAGAATGGAGTGGAATAGCAGTCACTATACTGGAAAGGGTAGTGTAAAGGTGGATGGAAAGTCCCATTAAATAAAGGGCACAGGTGGAGAGGAAGAATTATTTCTGGCTCTCTGTAGCACAGTACACTATGGTAACTGTTGTTTAAAACAATGACATTCCAAAGTGAGTACGAGTATAAAAGTCACATGTAAAAAGGTTTAATGGTTGGAGATATACAAAGACACTCTTACTTGATTATTAAACATCGTTTACATGTTTTAAATTACTGTAATGTACTCCAAAAGGATGTAAAAATATTGTCAGAAATGTTTTAAAAATTACTATATTGCAGGTAATGCTTGCAATATGATACATCCATTCTAAACCATTTTGAAAATTCTTATACAATTATGTGTGTAAGTATTATATGACCTAGCAATTATGCACTTCAGCATTTATTCCAAAGAAACAAGAATGTAATGCTAATGCAGGAATATGTGCAGAAACAATCATAGCCATTTTATTTGCAAGGTCAAAGAGTAAAACTTAACCCAGATGTCCTTCAACAGGTAAACTGTTAAGGCAAATATGCTAAAGCCATAACATAGAATACTACTCAGCAATAAAAACAAACTGCTGATACAGCCAACACTTTGGATAAATCCCTAGGGAAATAATCTGAGTGACAGAAAGTCTGATCCCTAAATTCATGCTGTAAGATTCAACTTATGTAAGATTTTTCAAATGCGATAAAAATTTGAAATAGCGGTAAATTAGCCCTTTCCAGAGCTTAGGAACTAGAGGGTGGGGTGGGAGTGGGGGATGAAGTGGGTGTGCTATAAAAGGGAAAGTACAGAAGAACTGTTTTGTTAGAGTCCTTCAGCATCTTGATTGTAATGATAGGTACACAAACCCAAATAGACTAAAATAATTTTATAGAAGCTAAAGCACACACATAATGAGTAAGTTTAAATGGAGAAAATCTAGATACGATCAAAGATTTCTATCATTTTATGTTAGCTTTCCATCACTGTAAGAAAATACTTGAAATAATTAACTTAGAAAAGTTTTTTTGCCCACAATGTTGGTTCCAGTCCATGGTTGGTTGGCTATGTTGTTTTGAGCCTGTGGCCAGGCAGCGTATCACTGCAGCAGCTCACGGTAGAGAAAAACTAGATGCAAACAAGAATGAGGAGGGTGCAGGGCCCAAGACCATCTGCGAAAGGACAGCTGCAGTCACCTGAAGATTTTTCACAAGGCCCTACTCACTTCATTTCCACATCCTCCCGACAGTGCCATCCTGAGACTCACACATTTAATACATGGCCCTGAGCAGGACATTTAAGATCCAAACTATAGCACAATACCAACATCTTATAAAGATATCATACTATAATTTTGAAATTATGTATAATTAGTGGTACAATACAAAGAGCCAAGTAACTGGCTCATGCATATATGGCGGATTGAGTTTGAACAATGATGCAAAGGTAAGAAAAAGGAATAGTGTCTTCATTTGGGTTGCCACGACAAATTATCATAGCCTGAGTAGCTCAGTCAAGTATTTCTCGTAGTGCTGGAGGCAAATCCAACAGGGTTCTAGTGAGGGCCGCCTTGTTAGTCTGAAGATGGCAATTTTCTTGTACCTTCACATGAGAGAGAGTAAAGAGGGGAAAAAGCAATTTCATTTCTTTTTGAGCCCCAGCCTCAAGTCCTGATTACCACCCAAAGACCTCATCTTAAGGGTGGTAGTACCATTATACAAATGGGGGATCCTCAATCAGTCTTGAGCAAATATTCCTTTCAAAACGAAAGCATGGTACAATTGGATAACTACATGCAAAATAAATAGTAAAATTCATACTATAAACAAAGAATTATAGACATAAAGCTTACAACTATAAAGAGGTTAAAATCTCAATGAAGTATGAGTTCCATATTTAATTACTAAGTAATTATATATGCAGTAATGAGACCTAATCACATTATCTAATCTTAATTTTCTTCTCTACTTTAAAAACATATCTGACAAGGGTTTAAAATTTGAATTAAAGGGATTTTTATGAAATGACAATCCTTGAAAGATAGGTATAATGGTTTTAAAAATTCTTCCTCCTACCAAGTGGATCAATGGTAATGTACAGAGATGTTCATAATGTACAGAGATGTTCATAAGCTATCTTTAAAAAGAGAATACATTCTCTCCTGTCAGTGAAAAAAACATTAATCTTAAATCAAGGGTGAAAATATTGTCAATGTCTGAGACACATTTATTGTTTTGTTTTGTTTTGTTTTGTTTTGCTTTGTTCTGAGACAGTGTCTCTCTATATAGTTCAGGCTGGCTGTGAACTTACTATGCACACCAAACTGTCCTGGAAATCATGGCTATTGTCCTGCCTCAGCCTCTTAAGTGCTGGGATTACAGGTGTGTAATCACCCAGTGATGTATTTATTTCTTTGAAGAAGGTGAACTTCTATCTAAAATTTCTCTCCTGAGACATTAAAATTTTCTCCAATTAGTAAAACCCAGATAGTTTCAAGATACTGTAATCTTCAAAAATTTAGCAATTTAGATAACTGTCAGTAGTCTGTATGTTTTATAAGAGGATGCTTATTTGTTTACAAATAATGCAACGTTTGCTTTCAAAATGCATATTTTGTAGCATGTGTATCACTGGGGCTGAAATGAAATAAATTGATCCCATTCCACTCTGATAAAAATGATCATTATCTGAATATTGAACATAATCTTTCATGGACTATCTTAAATGGATTATATGGCTTTTATAGGGAATGTGTTTTCCAAGCAGCTCAAGCTGGTATCTCTCCTAGACAGACTACAAAATCAACTTCTCAATTCCTAGCTTGGCTTGTGTCTAAATTCATTTTTCTTCTTACGTACTATAAATCGTCTGATCCATATTGAAATCCATATGATGTTTTTAAACTGGTATCTTCATTAATGGCAATATATAAGTATAAATTCATGAGTAACATTGCAACAGCCTAGAATCTAAGATCACTTGTTATGGAGTTCAGTGCTCTAAATAACCATCGCCTTTTGGTGATTGGCAGGATTGAATATACATTTTAAAATAACATAGAAAATCTAGACCAAACAGATGTAATCATTATTCTCAAAGCTTAAGTAGTTTAATATTATCATACTGTGACAGCATAAACTATTCTCAGGAATAGAAGGATTCAAGTGTAGGATTTAAAATTCAGTAGAGTCGGTGGGTCTTCACTTATGCAGCACAGCCTGCTACTTTCTCTTTAAAAAAACAAGCAAGTTAAAACCCTAATTAACATGTCCACTAAAACCCCAGCCCTTGCTTCTGCCATGTTTCGGGTGTTTGTGGAGGTTGATGTCTTCTGAAGTCATAGGTTTTACTAAAGGAGGATTAGAAGGAGAAAAGTAGCAAAGTACTAATTAAATTTGAAACCCATAAATTCCTGAACTGATAAATACACAGGACAATATGGTAATTTGAAATGCCAACTCCTTTTCACTGAACTTCTAAAATTTTTAATAATGCTTTAATCTTTCACCTTTATATAAATCTGAAGGTCCACGTTTAACAAAGGTCTGGAAAGAGCCCAAGTGCAAACTAAGGTATTGCATTCTTATGCTTAAAAAGTGCAAGGCGCACAGCCAGATACCAGGTCAAGTTTCCACAGCTTTGCTGCGCCAGTGGCAATGTGGAGAAACCCCCATGAATCTTCTCTTGGTGATATACAATTAATTTTATATTCTGTACTTGTCCTCTATGTTTTTATGCTGTTTCTGTTTATATTTAATTTTTGAGGTCACTGTTGGTTTGAGGTAAAATGCTCAAGCTTAATATTAAAATATTATTAGGTGATATTATAGTAACAAGTTGTAATAAGCAAATTCAGGGTCACCTTTTCCCACAAGTTAAGAAATTTAACTGTTGAAAACTGTCAAAAGAAACAATCTACAACTTCCTAACTCTTTTGAATACAAGATATTCAGTGGGTTTACTGAACAATATTTTAAAGAGTGAAACATTTCTACAATCCTTGTGTATTTTCACAGTGATCCTTTGTCTTATTACCTTAGAAGGATTTTCAGATCTCAGCACAGTTGCTTGTTGTTTACTTGATTTGCACTAAAACAGGAAAAAAAACCTTTCTAATAATTTTCAGAATAGCTATTCTTCCAGACGGGAGTCTACGGATCCTAAACACTTCTAAATCAGATGAGGGAAAGTATGTTTGCCAAGGGGAAAACATCTTTGGTTCTGCTGAAATTGTAGCTTCTGTGTCTGTGAAAGGTAAGAAAATGTAGCTAAATGTCTTGCAAGCATAATTTCATGGGCTTTCAAAGGAAAATACATCAGACACGCACATATATATGTTTGCACATATGTGTATGCATGCTCTTGTTTCTAAAATGCACTGAAATACAGAACAAACACTAAAATTATACTTTTTTATCATTTAAGGAGCCAAACAGGAAGGAACTGATTATTAATGGAAATCTGGATATTTTTCTTTGAGTAATTTTTTGAGAGGACCAAGAAAGTTTTTCAAAGTTTTATTCAGCGTCTCAAAGTGTGGGAGAATGCTCATAGTATGCAATTATTTTTCTTCCACCTAGGCTGGAGATGTTGCTCCATGGAGAGCACTTGTATAGCTTGCTGGGACCTTAGGTTGTTGGATTCCCAATAATGCAAGAAAAAGTATTTTTTGATCTAGCAAAAATAATTTTAGCATCAGTCAACAGTATTCCTTTGTTGTCAATTCAACTGGAGATTTCAAGAAGAAAGGAGCAGTAGAAAGAGGAAATCAATGAGTGGTGAAGGTGTATTCACCAGATGAATTGTTAACCAGAGCTGTTCACTGATGTTTGCTTCAGTAAGACTTTTATTGCCTTTATTGTAATCTAAAAAATATCACTGCTTATATGTTCGTTCCTTTTCTAGTTGTAAATGAACTCGGTTTCAAGCTAAGAATATTCCTTTGAAACTACACGTTGCTTAGTATTAAAAAAATTTTATATCTTAGGTGGAGAAATTTCTCTAAATAACAAAGGAATGTTTTCTACAATTGAACTATATCCTAATGTTTTAATTGTGCATGTATTACACAGTAAAATATATTTTGTCCATAAAAATATGAATATTTTACTTTGGAAAGGGAGAACACATGTGGAAACGGATGCTAGTGATGATTTGTGACATTGTGTTGTACTTAATGCTAAACACCCATACCCATAAAAATATGAACATGTTAAATTTTCTCTGTCCTTGTAAACAAAAATGTAATTATAATAGACAACAATCTGAAAGCTTAGAAGAGAGTCAACTATCAAGGGAGGGAAATAACATAATTTAAAAGATGTCTTCATTTATAGCGTATTATTGGAATCCACCCCAGTCTTCCATTCCTTCTCTTACTCCTGCTGCATGCTAAACTTTTTTCAAACAAGTTAATCCTGAAGCCATTAGAATCCTGAGTTTTTTATTTTAAAAATTTAAAACAAAACTGACAAAACAACAATGAAGACAAAATCAAAACACAAAAACATCAAAAATGATGCACGACCTCAAGACAAAATGATAGAAATTCAGAGTGGTTGCTCTATTACATGCCGTTGTCCTCAGTGAAGTTGCTCAGTCCATTAGATGTAAGAATGTAATAGTCAATGCTTCAAATTTTCTTTCTTCTTGATCGATTTCACGTGCTTGAATTTGGTAATTAGAATGACTGATCTGAAAACAATATGCAGTATAAGAACCACTGTTGGGGGCTGGGGATTTAGCTCAGTAGCAAAGCGTCTGCCTGGCAAGCGCAAGGTCGTGAGTTCGGTTCCCGGTACCGGAGAAAAACCAAAAAAAAAAAAAACAAAAAAAAAGAACCACTGTTGAACTATCATTTTGTGTGGTGAAGCTCTGCATCATTTCCAATTTTTTTAAAACTATTTTTATTTATTTATTTTTAACTTGTTAGAATCCTGATTTTTAATGAAAACAAATAACATTTTCTGTCAGTCAGGTGTTAAATAGATATGTGTTTAGTTGGAACTCAGAACATTTCAATTCCAACAAAGTTTACACTGCAGTATGATGTCACTGAGTATTTGGCCTGTACAAGGCTAACATTTACAATGGCATTCTTGTCCTGGAATTGTCTTTTCTTCTGAGGAATAACCCTGTACATTAAAAGATCTGACAGGTGCTTAGGAGAGGTACTTTATCAGGCTATAATTTTGCAAATAGAAGAGATTATATAGGACAGTTAAGGTAATTTTTAATCACTGTATCAATCTGCCTATGGTATCTACAGCGAGGAATCTAATTAGTAAAAAGGTAAAAAGAGAATCATGTCTTCATCACCTATTTTATTCCAAACCCAACATACTGCAGTCATTTAACCACTCGCTAAACCTTTAGATGAACAACTGTGTTAGCATTTATAGGTTCAGAGTTGCTGAAACTCCAGTAAAAAAAAATTTTAATTCAGCTGAATCACTATGTAAATGATTTTTTTCTCAAGAAGCATTTCAATTTTAATATTTTTATCTTTTTTATATAGCTCAGTTAAGCCAATTACAATCTTTCAGAAGTGATACTTTCTGATCACCCAGAAGGTACCTCTTCTAATGCTTGTCTACTCAGACAGAATTTTAGGTGTGCAAAGCTGGTTCAAGTTGGTGTTGCAGTAGGGTTATATTCTCATCCCCATGAGAAGGTAATCAGAAGGGAGGTGTCTTCCCCGGCCTTTTTGCCTCTTGCATCTCTTAAGGAAGTGAACACTTTGTGTTCTTCCCTTTGTTCTATGCAATGTTTTCATTATAAAAATGTTTTATTTATTTGATGATTCTTAAAGAATGTAAGGAAGGCACCAGCTGCTCTTTTCTTCATGCTCTTCCCCTAGAATGCTGAATGCAGTTTCTTCAAAGGGAGAGGAACCCTAAAATCCTTAGTCCTCCACAAAAGCATAGTAACAATGTAACAGAGTAACATTGTATAGATTCCTTTTTTTCCTCTATTATTTAAAATGACACTGAAAAAAAATAAAATGACACTGTTAGCATGTTAACTATTCTATCATTAATATACTTTTTGCTTTCATAGAACCTACAAGGATAGAACTTACTCCAAAGAGAACAGAGTTAACGGTGGGAGAAAGCGTTGTCCTTAATTGCAAAGCAATTCACGATGCTAGTTTGGACGTCAATTTCTACTGGACATTGAAAGGACAGCCTATTGATTTTGAGAAAGACGGTGGACATTTTGAAAGCATGCGGGCTGTAAGTTTACTCACTTTTACTTCCTGAGTAATAATTTTAGAAATGTTGATGCAACTGTAAAGTCTTTTTATCTACAAAACAGTAGAAAAATATTAGTATGATTAAAACATTTATTTTTTCCATTACTTTATGTCAAACTAAAAAGTAATTACTTTAAACTCCCAGTAAGAAATCTGGGGTGTTACTGACAACACTATTATATGATTCTGGTTTGTTTGCCAGTTTAGTTTAATATACTGTCAGTATTTAGACATTACATCTCATTGGTTATGTTTTATATAAAGTGGTCAGGATATTGTTTAAACTGTGGTTAGCAGTAATCACGGTACAGTATCAGTGAAATAAGTTGGTCTGTTCTACTCCTCCAGCAGTAGTAATTTTTGGAGGTTGTTTAATTTCTCACAAACTGTAGAGATTAACTCTGCACCCCATCATCATAAATGCATGTTGGACTTAAATGAACATTCACATTCAGACCTATTTCTTTATCTGCCAAATCTTTTCTTTTTAATCTTTTTATATGACTTACCTATGTGGCAATCACCCAAATGCAGGGAGAAGCCCTGTGAAGCAGGCCACCCGAGAACCATCACAGGGTCTCACCCTAGCATAGCTGAGAGAGGCCCCTCCCCCAGTGTAATTAGCAGCACGGTGACAGGACAAGAGAAAGACAGCAGTGCCGGTGGCAGACAAAGACAGATCTGGGCTGGACTCATCCTTTGACATTAGCTGAAGAATTGGATACAAATATGGTTTTTTCTAAAAATCCAATGTAAAATACTGTCACTTACTTATAAATATCCATTTGTTCTGTCCTCAACATTTTGGGAAGAATCGGAAAACCACAGCTATAGTGAGCTCAAACATTTAAAGCCACTTTGGAATGGATTTTACTTTAAAGAGTGTGTGGCACACACTCAAAAACCTGGACCCAAATTGATTAATTCTCTGGGTCAAGTCTCGCCTTGCTGCCTAATCAGACACATACGCAAAAGTCAGTCATTTGCTTTGACTGGGTCCTACTCATACACAGATGTAAAGTGCGAAATTTGAACCAGACCATTTCTAAGATCTCTTCTAGCCTTAGAAATTGATGAATTCATATTAGTAAAAGAGTACAGAAGAGCTCTCTTTATCGCATTTGCCGGTGTAACCAAAATTAAACAGTTCTATCCAAATTATTCCTTTCATCCTGGTTTTTTGCAGTTAACTGGAGAAACTTTTATGAATAAGGAACAGTCACCAACTGCATTGTTCACTGTCTCATTAATAAATTAATTTCAATTATCAGTGGGTAAATTATATGTAAAACATTTACGTCATGTTAAACTCTTTTCCCTCTAGTTTGTGGTTTTCCTCTCTTCTTTTAACATGCGTTGATAATTTCTACAAAATTTACAGTGCGAATGACATAAAACAGAACCAGTAAAATACGACATGAAAATACGCCATCAACCACATATCCTCTTAGGGTTATGTATCAACACTCATTTTGAGTGATTAGACACAGAGTAAACACATCTGTAGCATGATCCTCCTTCATAGAAGGAGTTCCTTTGCTTTAAAATTATCAAGGGAGAAATTTTTGCCTCCTGAAATAAAGCCACTTCAAGTGATATCACTCGTTTTTCTAAATAAATATCTGTAATGTTTTTCACAAACACCTGCTCTATCCCCCTTTGCATATATGTTTTTCAAAAGTGAAAAATTGACCCCTTACTCTATGCAAATCCATATTGGTACAAGGCATATTAAAACTAAGCTTTGGATTTACAATATTTAGCTTTAAGACAAGTATTACCACTTCCAGCATATTTAGAATAATTTATAGACATGTATGTACCTAAAATATTTGGTAGGTTCATAGCTATAAAGTGTGAAAGACATTCTCTATCACCTGTCTCTCAATTACTTCAAATCCTGGATGGGTCTCAGCCAGCTTCAGTGGCATGCACTGGAGAGACATCATTACATGAAAAAGAACAGGCGAAGGGAAGAAAAAATCCTCCGATTCCCCTCCTGCCCTTCTTCCGGTGAAAAGTCTTCTGGGAATTATTTTAAGAGGAGGAATAAAATTGTTCTTTATAAGGGAAATTTGGCAGGTCCACTAGGCTTGTGAATACCTTCATTTGGGGGATCGAGGGGGAGATTCCGGAAGTCAGAGGGGCAGGACAGGTCTCAGAAAAAGCCATTTAGGAAAATCTAAGGCCTGCTCTGTGCTCCAAAGGTGATCAACTAAAGGGATCTGGAGATGTCGCCTAAGGAGCCCAGGGTAGTACAGAGGAGCAAGATAGCCGCAGGGACCCGGGAACTTAAGCAGGAGTAGGTATGCCTTGACAGGAGCTATCTTCAGGCCAGTGCTGACTATCCTATGGCACGCATGCCTCAGCCAGCTGTTTGTGAGCACTGGGAGCTCTGCAAGATTCGCCATCCCTGCTCTGGGCGAACTGCCCAGAGACGGAACCTTGCAGTGGGTGGTTTGACGGTGGTGCCTCGGAGCGAAGCGGGGATACTTTAAACCATTTCCCCTCCATAGGGTGAAAGGAGCCAACCTGGCCTCAGGAGTGGAGAGAGGAAGGAGGAGGGGAAAGCGGGCTGAAATTGAACGCTGCACAGATAAAGAACTGTGACGCAACGGTGTTCATTAATTTTCAGCTAGTCGTGTTGATGTCTTTTACACACGTGTGTCGGTCAGTGGGTAAAACCAGTCAAACGAGCCTTTATGCAACATCTCTCTGCAGTGTACGTGCTCATGTTTTTTAAAAAACTTATGGCTTTTGGACTGTATTTCAAGAGTGCAGATAAACATGTAATCATATCACATTTATAAAATAGCATTGCTTTGAAATTTAACTCCAAACATCCGTAATGAAATGCTTCTATTTCTCTTGCCCTCTTTCCGGAGGCCTTGTTGTGCAAAGCCAACAATTTGACTGATTTGGAGTGGATCCATTGCCAAAGACACCACCCCAGGGCCAAGCAATCAGTTCGTAAACATTTGATCCAATTCTCCACAGTCCCTTTTTTTGGCAAATGATATGAATAAAGTGAATGCGGCAAATTAGAGAGGCTATGCTTAAGATTTTTCAGTTCTAACAGCTAAGTGCTGCGAGTGATCCAGAATAAAGCTACAGCCTTCCACTGCTAAGACAGAAGAGCTTAAGGGAAGAAAGCAGGAGTACTGGAGATCTGTTACCGCAGAGTCCTGCATGCAGGCAGCTGGCAGAATGCTTGGCTCTTTGAAGTAAACCTGGATAGGCAGGATTTTGCCTGGTGTCCGGCGGCAACTGCATTTCAAGCAACATGAGCAGGTCGAGCAAAGACAGAAGAGTTTAGCGCATGACTCAGGAACAGCGAGGAATCAGTGGTCTGGGCAGCGCAGCAGAGGTACCTAGTAGACAATAAGTCAATATTTGTTGAATAAATTTAAGGGAAAGCAGCAATGCCTTCAGAGTGAAAGACACTGATTTCCGAGCTGCACAATTGGGATTGTACTTTGAATGTAGAGAGTGTCATACAGTTCGGATTTGGTATTTAGAGAAATGATCCTGGCACCTCTGTGGAGCAGGTATGAAACAGTGTTTAGATTTTACATCCAGTCTAGACTGGTTACCTGTGGTTAACTAGAGGTTACAGCACAGAGACAGGCATTATAAGCTTTGGCTCAGAGTAACCATCTTGTTACCAAAGGAAAGCATTTACAGTATTTTTGACCCAATTATTTCTGTCGGTCGAAGCTCTGCGGGAATCTCCGCTCCTCTCGGGAGACTGAATAGAGCCTCAGCTCTCACACGGCCCTCACGCCACAGTCTTAATGGAGGACCTAGGTGGCCAGTGTGTCCCAGAAACTTGAATTATCCTAATTATCCATTTGGGATCTAAGCAAGCATTGATCCTTATAATGCATAATGAGCTGCTGCACTGTTACTAGGGCAGCCTGCAATTTGTGGGAGTTTTGACAGAGAAGAAAGGTCACACGTGTGTCATAAAAATGATCTGCTCAGTCATTCTTTTCCATTGGAAACTTTGCACTATGAACTTGCAAAATCACGACTAAATGGACAAGCAAGGCCAAACGCTGCGTCAGTACTACTTGCCTGGTTCCGTACACTCACCCATTCTTTCAGGACAGCAGGAATAAGAAACACAATTTTAACAAGCTGGATTTGGGCTCCACTTTTTAACAAAGAAACTGAAAAATAAGACTTTTCCAGGCTACACACACGAATTTTAAACAGGGGTAAAAAAAAAAAAAAAATTAAATGGAGTGTAACTGTAAACTGCATTACGTTGACTTTTCTTCATAAAGTTTGTCTTCTCCATATCCACTGACTGTCTAGTAACTGTTCAGCTATTGTCAGTATAAACTATGGGAAAAAATGAAAGGAAGCTTTGGTCCTGCTCTTCAACAAGCATGAAATTTGTACAGGACATTAAGCAATCTTAGAAAACTATGAGCATAAAAATTCTTATTTTCAGGGAGTCAAATATTGTTGGAGACCAAAAGAAACTAATATGATATTTTGCCAGTGAGAAAAACAAGACAAAGAATTAATTAAACACCTACTATGTGCCACTCATGGAACACACATCTGCACATACACACACACACACACATGCATTGATTCCTCACAGCACATATGTAAAGTAGTGTCATTTGGGGAGAATATCCTACCTGGCCAAGACAGTAGAAGTAGAATTAAATAGGCAAAGCAGGCAGAGAAAGGTAATCTAAAGTGAGAAAAGATATTGTGTCTCAAAATTACAAGAGATTTTGTAGAATATTAAACATATCTTAGGCTGACACATGAATTCTCCTTCAGAATTAGTATCTGCAATAATCCTTTCAGTGATGAGGAATACATGTACCTGAAAGAATCCTTTCCATTATCCATTAGATCAGAATGCCAGCAACTGGAAAGTAGAAATAATTTTAATACCTTGTTTTCCAAGTACAGGAATCATAAAGAAAGATGTCTGATTTATAGCCATGGTTTTTGTGAATTATTAGATAGATAAAATGAGACAGGACATAAGATTCCTAATACTCTGGGAATTTTAAAATTAGCTGAAAATCTCCAGCCCATGTGACTTTTCCTATTATAGATGCTTCTGCTTCTAATTTATCTTCTTGGGAATTAGCTTCTACCGCCTGAAAGAGAGAAAGAAAGTTCCAGAAGACAATACAGTCAGTGTTCAGTTGGCCCCCTGCTCTTTCTTGATAGATAAGTGTTAGTAGGACAAGCCCGTGAAGTCACTGGACACTGCCGGGGTTTACTGAGGCACAGAGCTCTGAGGGCCTCGTGAATATCACCTCCACACCTTCCTCATCATCGTAGCATGCTGCAGTCCCGGAGCCGCTGCTGTCGGGAATAGGCTCAGCACGGCGCACATTCCCTTGGGCTCATTCTGATAACTGGCGGTGTTCAGGCATTCGGTCTGAGCACCCGCACTCCGACTCCCGAGCTCTCACTGTCTGAGGAGAGGGAGACTCTTCGTCAGCGCGCCTCCTGTCCGCAGGCTCTACATCTAGCTGAGACTCCTGGCAAGCACAGTCCACCAGCTTTCTGTCCTCCGCTGCACTCCCTTGACCGCCACATACAGATTCACACCACGTTCCTATCTTCTGCCAAACTTAACCAGTCATTTTTTTATCTGAATAGAATAAAAATATGCCATAACCACAAATCAAAGCTTGTACGCCAACGTGGAGAGACATTACCTCCAGAATCCTTAGAATTTTCAGGCCACAGCAGAAAATTCTACCATATCTATATTTGATTCTTGTGGTCATGTGCCCACATAGGTGATCCTGTAACATTTTATTCATTAATAAAATAGGCCTGCTGGGTTCTAAAAGTAGGGGCTAATAGGTTATTTTAATGTATTTATTGCTTTGCCCCAAGTATATTCACAAAATAGCCATTCTGAAAATACTGTGGGATGCAAAAGTAAAAAAAAATACTACAAATTGTTCTTGCATCTTAGCCAACTATATTATTTCAGTTGTTTTGTTAATTTAGAGGCTCAATTTTTGACAGCTATTTTACTTTTATAATGTCTCCCTAGCATTGCATGTGATGTGCATAGTCACCAGGATGCCTGCAATGGTTTTTTTGGTACTGAGCTGCAAGTCCTTTTGTTGCTGTTATTTAATTTTTGAGGAGAGGGAAAAATAAAGCTTTTGACAGAGAGAGACGATTTTAGTTCTGGACTGTGCTGAGAAAAATGAGATCAATAGCCTAGGTTCTGTGATCTCTGAGGGAAATAAAAGTTGCATTCTTTTGAGATATAGCTAGAACATTCCAAGTTATTGGGTTAGGGAAACAAGGGAATGAGGAATAGAAACACCCATTTACCTTTATAGAACTTTCTCTGCTAGAAAGTAAAATCCAGATATTCAATATGCTTCTAGCTTGCTAATTCCAGAAATTAAGACTTACTTACCTGCATCTAGGACTCCATATGTTTTTTTCCCTTGGAAGCTTTGTTTTCCTCCAAATTTATTTTTATGTTCCATGCATATGTGAACTCTGGCTAGATTAACGTAGTCCTGAATTTTCCTTGGGTTGATCGTTTTTCAATGAGCAAATTAATTTATCTTGCATAAAGTGCTTATACATTTAGGAATGTGACCATTAGTAACCCCAGCAGGTTGTTGCACTTATTACCGTTGCTGGTTACTAAACCAAATTTTCACCTAAGTCACTATTAAAGAGTACAATGTAATTGTATATTAAATAGTAACCAATGACTCTTGACTCTACAACTATGGCCCCCTCCCAACTTGACAAAGAATTATTTTTATTCAGTAGCAAAACTTTATAAATTCTTTATGTTCCACAAACATAATTTGATGAATCTGTATATGACTGAATAAATGCATAATATGAAATTCACTCTTCATAGCATGAAATGATCACTATCACTTTCTACTTTTATCAAATATTCAAGTCTGGTTACTAAGATGAGCACCTGAATTGCCTTCAAGGTCTACAATCTTCTTTCCTACTTCAAGTTTGCACTTAATCAGGTTTTACTTTTATTTCTTAGGAAACTGCTGTTTATACCTTTATAACTTTAGTAACTTCCTCTCTCCCCCTTCCACTAGTCTTACCCTGAGCCTGCTCAAGTGAACCGATTAGAAAGGAAAACTGATGTGTCAATTTTAAATGCAGACCATCTAAGCCAGTAGAGAGATGCTGTGGTGTGTTGTCCAGATCTCCCCTTCAGCACTCCTTCCCCAAATGCTGCGAGCACTATGGGCTGACAGTCCCCAGCGAAGTCCCCTTTGGAAATTCCTCTCAGCCTAAGAGGGACCACGTCATGCTCCATCCCCAACCTGTGCCCATGTATAGGCCTACGAGTGCACAGAGGTATTATAAAGGCCAGGACTCTTGCCTCAAAGCAAGCAAACTTGGGTCGTCTCAGCTCCAAAGTTCCCTATGGAATTGGTTGAGACCCTTGTGGCTGCTCCACAGTTAAATATTACCTCTGCCCAATTCTCTCCTCTTTATTTCTTCACAAGTGTTGATCCCAGTGATGCTCCCAGTGGATTCTCCCTCAGAGTCTTGTTTTCTGAAACCCAACATAAGACAACCAAAATGGCAAATGTCATCACTGACACAACTCTAAAAACAGGCGTAAGTACTGCAAAAATAGCTCTCATCTATTGGGTAACTACAGAAAACCCGGCAAAGTGTTAGACCTTTCAAATGTTATTTCACGTACTTAGCGTAAATAGCCTATGATGTAGAGATTTTTTGACAGACTAAAGTGAAATTCAGAAAGATGACCAGCTTTCCTAAAAGCAAACAACTGTTTAGAAGAGTTATTCAGACTAGGACTGACCACAAACATAGCACCTTTTGTAAAACCTACAGCATCTCTAAAACAATTTGGCAAACAGAGGTTTGAATTTTTACTTTCTCAGACTACGTAACACTAAATTACATCATCCTATAAATAATATAGGCAAATATCCTCATCCATTTGTAAGCCAATTACTTTCATTTGTAATAGGATTTTCAAATTTGTAAGCCAATCACTTTCATTTGTAACAGGATTTTCAAATATTTATCAGCAGTCACTCGCTCCTGTAAGTTTCTGCTATGACTTTATGCTGACATTTAGATTCTGAGTTTTGTTTTGAAATATTTATACAGGATATAATCAGAACCGTTTCTGGTCACATTGTCAGACTTATGTTTCTAAGAGAGCCCTACAAGTCAGATTGTAAAAAGTTTAATTATTTTACAATACATTTGAAATTTGTGTTATTGATTAAGATTATTAAGAGAAAGCTTTTAGACAAATAAATTTAAGGGAGTTCGCATAGGCAAAGAATTGTTCGCACACTGGGCAGGACTCAGAACCAGAGAGGCTCAGAGGGCCCTGGCCAGCAGTGTGAGCAGCGAGACACTTGTAGGCATAGGAGTGCAGAAATCTGTGTGCGCGTGTGTGACGGGTAAAGCTGCCTGGGACTGACCGAAACTGGGCTATGGACGTGGAGGATACGCTCGGACTTCCGGTTTCTTTAAACGCTGTTATGTTGCAATTCAATTCCTATGCAGTCAAAATACAGAGTCAGCCTGAGGCGAAGTTTAATTTGACCCACGCTGAAATGGATGAGTAGAATTTTACATCTCTTCTTCTCTCATACATCATTTATTTGATTGCCACAACTGTGAGTCACGTGGTGTACAGATATAGAAACTGAGTCCCGGGAAGAGGGCTGGAGGGCTCAGAACCACAGGCCTGAGCAACACAGGACTATGTAAGACACAGCCAGCGCAATCCCGTAGGAGTCATTGGGTTTATGACCTCATTTCCATGAATGATACTCCAGTTCTGGTTTGCTGTTTCAAGATAGGAAAGAATTAAGCATAGCTCTAACTTTTCAGTGTAGCTTTCTTAAAAGCAAAGACATAAACAGAATGGATTTCTGCTCTGAAGTCCCACCTCTTCAGCTATCCAAATAAGCCTATTTTTATGTTACTTGATCATTATTAAAACATTAAAATTTTATGGTCAGTAAGATAAAATTGCCAGGTTTTTAAAGTCTTCCCATAACCCTTACTGAAAGTGGACTGGAAAAACAGCTTAAATTATTCTACAACACTTGCTGGATCAGATGTTCTGTGGGTGTGTTTGCCCACCAACTAAAGCTAACTTTCCAGGCTGCTGTAATTGTTTCATTTCATAGTATGTGAACCCGTTTTTATCAACTTCCCTTTTCAGTCTTTAAAGATTCTCTCAGACTGGATCTGAGATGTAATATGTTACTTTGTGTTCAAAGCTAAAGTTGAGATGAAGAATTTAGAGTATAAGATTTTAACTCTTCCAAAGAAAATATTATCTACATCTGAGATATTCAAAATCATACCTTATTTCTGGGGATTTACAGCACTGTTGGTGTTTCATGTGAATTTACTGACAGCCAAAATCCAGTTTTCAAGTCAGTTAGCTGGAAAAGTCTCAGATCCATCCACTCCCCTCAACCTCATATTCAATGATTATTAAATTCTGTCAACTCTATCTTGAATCTGTTGCTTCCTCTTCCCCATTCCTAGGGTGAGCATCCAATTCTCAGCACTAATTTCTAATGCTTTCCATTTACCACCCTTTAGACTGCAATCACAATTGTTATGATCTTTTCAACAAGCCGGCTTTACCATACTACATTTTTCATCTCAAATAGTTACACAGAATCATGCATATGGAGCACATACCATCCTTGATCTAACTCTGACAACCTATTTCCATTCTATCATCTACCATTTTCCTTCAAGTGTTACTTATGTTCTTTTTATGACAAAATAATTTTTCATAGGTTGTCTTGGTTACTTTTTTCTCGCTGCTGGGACAAAATACCTGATGCCCAAAATTAAGGAAGGAAAGGTTTATTTTGCTTACAGTTCATGGAAGTTTCAGTCCATACTTGGCAGATTAGAAGGCAGAGTGGCACATGGCAAAGAGCTACAGCTCATGGCGGCAGCACACAGCTAAGCTGCAAGCACACACCAGGGTGGAATGGGGGAGCTAGAAGTTAGGAGCATTGTTTCCCCTGAACTCCACACAGTACCTGGTACACGTTAAAGCCTGAATGCACATACTTGCTCAGTGGAGATGGATGAGTATGAACTAAAATATCACCATGTAACGTAGGTCACCAAAACAAGCATTGACTACAATAGTGAAATATTTTTAAAAAATTGTTTAACAGAGGAAAGTTGTTAGCTTCTTTTCTAATTGAGGATGTCAGTGATTAAGTTTTATTCATTTTACTTCAGATTCTAATCTAGATATTTTGATAGTGTACTAAAAGTACATGTTTTATTTGTAAATAATAATCAAAAGCATTCTTAAAAGAGAAAAATAAAGTTGATTCTATTCATAATGTTGAAAAAATAGTGATATGTTTTTTATACTTTGTTAGTCTGAAAAGAATGCCCTATGTATGAAGGAAATATAATTTTACCTACAAAGTGATAAAATGTGCAATATAACAAAAGCATTAATTCCAGAAGTTTTACTTTGTTGGAAATATGCACATAAGAAGACTTTTTTCATTTTAGTTTTTGAAAGCCTTGAAAAATAAAACTGCCCATATTATTTAATACCACATAAGCTAGCCGGGTGTGGTGGTGCACACCTGTAATCCCAGCACTTGGGAGGCTGAGGCAGGAGGATCACTGCAAGTTCGAGACCAGCCTAGGCTACAAAGTGAGCTTAAGGCCAGCCTGAACTACAGAGGGAGACCC